GAGAGAATGCGTTTGTTTTTTAGGGCAAAAGTAGCCGATTTCATCCACAATTGGACTCCGAAACTGGGAGTTCTGGATATATTGGTAACCGATCATCATTTATGGTACCTGGGCATATTATTTCATTAAAAAAGTTATATTTTTCAAAGTCCCGGACTTTGTCTATGGAAGTTCGCAGGGCTGTGGTGGGGACATCTATCCAACCGAACGCATCCCTGTACACACAGCACTGTACGCAGGGCTAGGGTTGAAACAAAGGAAAATAAGTCCGTTAAGAAGGTTAAGAAGCTTAAGAGGCCACTTAAGAGGCGTCGTGGCTCCTTCCGTTAGTACCTTCCATGGTAAAGATTACATCAGCCAACAAGGAAATGAAAATGTTTGTTATTTTTTGAGGTTTTTTTGTGGCAAACATAATTAAAATGGAATATTAACCCAATATTTCAGTTTCGCATGCCAGAAATACATCGTCATTAATCGATTTCAAAATTTTATTCCGTTATATCTGAACAAGACTGGCGTCTGTGATCACTTTGTGGTTAGTTCGCGATGGCTGTCCTGCAACGAACACTCATACAAAACACACAACGACATGTGTTGCATGTGACGAAACCATAAAACGTGATACAGAGTGGCATGACCGGTGACTGACCCAAAAGAGAAAGTCGCATTTCGATCAAACGCCACAATCGACTCGTTTGGAAATGAAACTTCCGATTTGTCAAATTTCACAATAAGCGAAAATTTCATAAATATCTAAAATCAATTTACTTACAAATCGTGCTTGCCGCGTTTCTCCCAATTTCTGCAGCTGTCTGCGGTAACACACAGAGCCGCCATCTTGCAAACACGGACTAAGTACCCGGATTTCGATCCCAGGGTGCATTGTTAATCAAAATGGCTGCGCCCACAGACTCGTCAAGATCGACGCCGACCAGGGGTTTGAGCAAATCCCAACTGAAAAAAATACAACGGAAGCAACTCAGATCGCATCATATGCTGCTCAAACACGAAGGCATACATGTCTCTGCGACTCCAACACAGGTAGGAATATAGTAATTGAAAGCTTTCAATTTCATTGTATTTCGCCACACATTGTAAAAAGTAGATCAATCAGTGGAGTGGTTGGGGGGGGGGGGGGGGGTAGCACTACCACTGTGGCCCACGTATAGCGCTGCGTTTAAGGGACGCACTACTGACATGTATAGGTATAGGCGATCGCACACACACAAATACATGGTACCGGTATT